CGGCGGGAGCGGGAGCGGGCGCCGCCGTGCGGGGGCAGCCGCCGGGCCCGCGAGCGGGGCCGCCTGGTGGCTTTGCTGGGAAGGGCGCAGGAGGCTTCCGACACAGAGGCGCCTGACTGTGAGCGCTTGTGGAAGTCCCTGGAGCGTGTGTCAGTGGCGTGGGCTCGCGTGGCCCGTTTGTGCCTTGCTGGCCTGCGCCCACTGTAGCCATCGGTAAGCGAAGAGGGCTCAGCACTAGCTGCGCTATAAGCTGGAGCTGAGCGGGAGATCTGCTTCGGCTAGTGCCCCGGCAGCTGGAGGGCTGGGGAGGGGATGAGTGGGGCAGTCAGTTGTGTCTCGCTGAGATAAAACAGAGGCCGGGCAGGGGAGGGAGCAGCTCTGCTGGTGTGGGGAGCAACGGCACAAGAGCAGCAGCAGCGTCAAGTAGGAAGATGTCGACCACATCATCACGGATCACCACGTCCTGGAAGATCTCGTTTATATCACTCAGGGATCTGTAGGTCAAATGCACAATCTCAGAGCTCGCCTAGAAAAAAATACTACTGATGAAATCAGGAAGCACATTCTGACTGAGCGGAATGCTCAAGTTTGTGTATTCACCAATAAAGGGTTCCCCCACAGTCTGGCTGAAGAGCAGGACAAAGGGAGGAGGGAGACGGAGCAGAGCCATGAGCGAGTGGGACAAAAGAGCATCTGCCAACAGGTGGGGGCCTTTACGAATAAGAGAAACAAGGGAATTCCCCCACATTCTTCAGCAAGGGGGACAAAGCAGTTGGGTGACCTCAGGTGAGAACAGATGGCCAGAGGCAGGAGTTTGCTGTAGGCAGGCTGGGAAGGCTGCAACTTCTGAGTAGCTTGGCTGATGGGGAAAAGGAGAGGGCGTCCCTTGATCGGGAAATTAGGATAAAAGGAGGCTGTGTCCTCCAACAATTTGAGAGACCCCCCAGGGATATGCCTGGTAGGCTCTCCCTTTATTCGAATTAAGTTTTAGGACTCTTCTGTCTCTTTTTGGACATGCAGTTCTTGACAGCGAGATTTTCCGCGCATGATCATACAGAGGCATTGCTAACTGGAGTTTCTGAATGGGTTTAACATGTTTGTTCTACTGTTATGTAGTATCGATTGCAAATATTTAGTCTTGAGTCTTCACCACTTACAGTTGCAGCAGAGTCCCTAGCTGAAATGATCTTTATTCAGTTGTTCTATGCTCTGGCTGCACAACAGGGAGAGAGCAACATTTTGCAAAAGCAGCCAAGTTTCCTTTATTACTCCAGCTCCAGACTGCTAATTCCAATTTGTAGTCAAAAACTTCTCAACTCCCCTAAAGATTTAAGACAAATATGAACCGCCTAAATAATAAAATTATTGCTTGAGCACAGTTAAAATGTGTTTAATCAATATTTGTTTTATGTTCTACATCTTTGTTGATGGTAATATTCAGCTGGACCTCCAAATGACAAAGATATAGCAGCCATGAAGGATGCAAATGTCAAGCAATTACATTTATTTAGGGCCCTTAGGAGCTAAAGGATGTAAAAAAATGTTCTATTAATTTAACATTAAAAAATTGTTAATACAAGATGCAAGATGCAATTACAGAGAATTTTCCACCATGAAAACACTTCTTTTGAAGCCAGATGGAGAAGCAGGAGGACTGATTTCCCTTGGTTCAGTACCTGACACTTGCTTCCTTATTCACCTGGGCTCTGATCCAGAAAACCAGATATATGAGTACTGCAGGTATTCGTGTCCTTCATGAAGTTCTTTGATAGATGAAGAATTTCAGCAAGTCAATCATCCTTTCTTATTTTTTAAAAAAGCTTAATACAAATATTGTTACTTTTCAGCAGAGAAGGCATACTGTAGACTACATACTTGTATGTGAAAACACTTTATAGCGTTGAGATGAAAGGTGCTCAAAAGGTGCAAAGATGCTATTATTATTTATACTGTTATAGCTCAGCTATGCTAAGTGTATTAACTATTTTATGACGTTGTCAATGATCACCATATCACATAGTCATTTTATTTTAAATAATTAAAAAAGAACAAAAAGTTCACAATGTAGGGTATAGAATATTTAAAGCCATTAAAAGGTAAGATCAAAATGGAGAAGACAGTAACAAATCTTAGTCCCTCACTCAGAAGTCTTCGATGACAAGAGTGAAATCTTATTTGATACTGCATTTCTATTATTACATTCACTCTGTTTTAAATCACCACTTCCTAATATCTGAGTCTTTGTACAAGTATATGCGTTTTTTTTCAGCTAACTCTTCAGAAAACAGTGGTAGCACAGCTAGTCCCTCCTTTAACCTACCTGGTGTCTCTCTGGAGTCACAAAGCAGATGCAAAGCCATCGGAGACCTGATGCCCACTAAGGGGGTGGCAATCCATGGCTGACGGAATGATGCGCTGTGAAGCTCTACCCCGCAGTGGAAATCAAAAGGCATCTGTAAATTCCAGCCAGGGCATTCCTACAGCCTCTGAACAAAGGAAGAAAAGAGTAGGATAATAGTGGCATAAGTTCGAGGTTAATTTAAAGATTCAATCTTTATGCATATTTTTGTTTTATGATGCCACATCTGGCTCACAACTGGAGAATCATTTTTTCTGTTTTCTACTGCATATTTACTTAAGGTTTCTGTGTGAAAGAGAGAAAAAAAAAATCTGGATCCATTAGAATTGGGGCAGACCAAGCCAAGGACCAGCTGGGGAGATTATTTTCAGCTGCCAAACATGCCCCTGTCAGCAGCCTGTAGGGGACTTACAGGCCTGCCTTAATCCCCAAGCTATTGATCTGGATGAAAAGTGAAGCTGTGTCAAAAAACAAAGGGCTTCTGATGGAAAAGTACTCTGGGCAGGATTTGGCAGAGCTCCAGGGGCTGCCAGTGTGTCACAAAACTGTGCATGTTTGTAGATAAGTCATGGGGAAAGAGATGAGACAGGTAAGAAGTGAAGGAAAAAAAAAAAAAAAACAGGCCGAGGTACCAGTCTTCGAAGAGCCACTTGGCTTTCAGGAAAACGATGGATGTTGTAACGTGCAGAAGATGGCGGGTTGCCCTGTGCAGCAGCAGCCACCCACTGCATGTTCTGACACCACAGGGCATGAGCCCACCTTTCTTTGTAAGTGATGAACCATGACTGGTTCCCAGGCCAGCTCTGAGTTTGGTGATAAACTGCCTTCAAAAGCAAAACTGGCTTAAAAGCTCCTGCTCCTTGCCTTGCAATTTGTGCTCATTTCTCGTTAATAGTTTCTAGGAGCAAAGCTGTTGCAGAGCTCTGCTGGAGTGCACGTTACGAGATAATCCACGTTGTACTGGTCTGGCCAAAAATGCAGCTCCTCATACCGAGGCATGTGCACAAGTGAAGCCATGGTAGTAATCCATAGCCAGAGGCACCAATTCCCTTGCTTATAAAGCAGGAGTAAGACCATACACTTTATAACTACACAGAAAGAGGCATATTCTTCATGCCAGGATGGAGAGGCAATGTATTTTAAACAATACAGTGAAATAATTCTGGATCATCATCATCATCTTGGCTGACATACTGTCCACTCTTGCTTAGGCTGGATCAGGAAATGTTCTACAAAGCCAACCACTTATGTAGATTTCTTTTTAAAAATGCACCTTTGATTGCTACTGGGCTGTCTGCTCAGTGCAGAAATCTTGTAAATCCATCTGAAAAATAAAAAAGGCATTAATATGCTGCAAGTCAAAGATAAAATTCTATGACAGATCTCAGGGCAGTTCTTTATTCACAGAAGAAAGCTACAGACATAATTTTTATTGCTGCTATCTTGTTTTATCCTCACATATTCTGTCTTTCCTGGTTCTAGTTTGGCTGCCACATTAAATATGCAATATTTTGACAGTCTGATAGAAACATAATGTTCTACCACAGCACTCTAATCCATTTCATTATGCAGCTAATCTATGGCATACTGCATCTGCCTTAAACAGCCATCAGCAACAGTTTTGTGAAAGAAAAAGGACGTTTGATTTTTTTTTTTTTTAAATCTTTCCCAAAAAATATGTAGTGTAGCGATTGGTGAGTTACAGACAAAAGGCTTGGGGGGCTGGAAGTAACATGTTTGTGTGATTAGCGTGGCTAATTAAACAGAATCTGTTGGCAATCTCACAAATAAGTTTCCATCCCCTTGTGGCGTCCCAGTCCCCAGGATGCGGCACCAGAACTATGATGCTGCCGCAGCGCACCTCCGGTATCTGCCACTTCCTAGAGCGTATGTGATAGCAGTTTGTGTGCTTGGAAAAAGTGCAGCGGGGATGTGACCCACAGGCCATGGCACCAAGTCGTAACGGCATCCCCAATCGCTGCAAGTGCAACATTTCTCTTTAGGAGATATGAAAAAAAAAAATGTTACCTCTTCTCTAAACACGAAAAAAACATTTTCAAACATGTCTTCTTGATCAAAGCTTAAATAGCTTCCAGTTAAAAAAAATATCCCAGTAACAATCAGCCCTACTCTTCCGAATACAAATAAATAGATACTGTTACACTCAGGAATGCTTTTTTGTTCATCTTTTCCTTTCTTCTCAGTGGCTCCATATGAGAAATCTTTCTTGTTAATCCTCTCACTCATCAGCAACTTTCCTGGGCTACCTGTTGTTAAATTTGTAATCCATGGCAGAAAATAAGAATGAACTAGCACTTGAAAGATGTAAACAGATAGTTCTCCTCTTGTAGCTTCCCCCTTATACTACAGATGTATTTAAGGAAAAGAGAATTATCTTCCTGTTATATCTATCTGCAATGTGTTTGAGTATGTGCATCATAACACCTTTGTAACCAAGTACAATAGGTCTAATCTGTTGTATTGATTTTCCATATAGCTCAAAGTTATTCAAGAAATCAGCATATGAGGTGCAGCAAAAAAGATGTAGGATGATTTGTTCTCACCACAAAACAAAATGAGAAGTCAAGAAATGATATATGAAATATATGAAATATATGAATTTCCTGTATTCATTTTTATCATCATATCATTAACAAAAAATAAAGTGTTTTTTTTTTTTTGCATAAAGCTGTTTAACATGATGATACCGTAATGCAAGAGGCAAACCAGTAATGTTAAGCAGATTGCCTTCAGCACTCCTTGGTTGTGCTACAGAGCCTGTTTTTGTTTTTGTTTTTTTTTGCATAAAGCTGTTCATTAAAGGGAGAAAGAATTACATATGAATTGTAGATTTATCTAAAATATTATCCAAAGTATTTAGTGTAATCTTTTGGCTTCTGAATTACTGCTATTAAGAAGCAGCTAAGTCTTGAAATCCTGTTGCACTTTCATACAATCCTTAAAGGCTTTTCTATGGAAAGAACTTGACTAGAATAGCTATTACAAAATAAGATAGCTATTCTTGATTTGCATTCTACATGCAGATGCTAATTATAGACTATTCTTATTCTTCTAAAAAAGAGTCTCTGTAGATAGCACTTCCAGAATAATGGAGTATCTCAACAAGTTCTTCCATGTTGGTCTCTATGTGCTGTTTCACGTAAATTCTTTTTACTCTTTCTAAGGTAAAAGCATTAATGTTCCATTAAAAGCATAAGGCTAGCAATCTTATACTCTTGTAAGAAAGCATTTGCAGTATCTTTAAGAATACTATTGTTTAGCAAAGTACATACAGAAAATGAAATGCAGATTGAATGAACTATATGCATTACAGCTGCCTTTCTAGTATTTCTGTAAATGCGTTCAAAATATTCATATTCATATTTAATTCCTGCTTTTTCTTGCAATTGTAAAAAGGAGATAAGGGATGCAGTGACCAAGCCTTTGCTGAAATATCAAAGGAGAGTGGAAAGAAACTGTGAAAGGACCTGTCAAATGGAGAGACAACCTTGTACACTAGGTCCTTCCTCGCTGTACCTGCCTGAGAAACAAAACCGTGAACAAGCAGTTTTCCTCTAACTTCACATTTACATAAGTCCAGAGTATTTAAATGGATTTACTACGGTACAAGAGTCATGTACATGAAATCCCAATTAGACCCTGTATACCAACCTAAATATCTGGACAGTTAGCGCCGAGTATCTACTGTGATGGGCAGAGCACTGTTGTTAAATGCCCTGCCCATGCCTAACGGGCCGGGCTGGCTCCTCTTCAGGATGAATCTCTCTATCCTCCTGGTCTGCTCGCTGTCATTATAAGGGCTTTCCTAGTCATCCCGTGAATTATCGCTCGAATTAAGTTCAGCACAGCCATTTCTTACCATGCCCACCCCTATCCCCTTTCCTCCCCGCGCCTCTTCGCTTTAAGCGAACAAACCC